AAGCTCCCCGCCCCCCTTACTAAATGCTGACTTCATGTGCCCAGGTTCTGTCCCTAACAAAGGACACCATCTGTGGGGGCAGGGACTGTGCACCAAGAAGCCGCAGTAAACAAGGCCTCTCTCTGTCACTCGCTGTGTTTGGCAAACACTGTGCATATTGGCCATAGTGGAGACAGCAGAAGCAAGGCAGAAGGGGCCCTGCCTTTGGGGAGCTCGTCACGTGGGGAAAGGGAGGGCCAGCAGATATCGAAGCAGAAACTGGATTAGTCAGCACACTGCCAGTTAACTATGGCTGGGGGTGGGAAAGAATGGCTAGAAGGGAAGAGGCCCTACTATAGGCAGGGTGCCCGGGGAAGGCTCGTCGCCAGAGGGTGACATTTGTGCTGGAAACTGCAAGACCAAGCCAGCGGCATGGACGATTCTGGGTGATGCGGCACACGGCAGGAGGAGTGTGGTATCTTAGGAACTGCGAGGAGGTCTCGGAGTCTCTAGGCGGGGCAGGAGAGACAATCAGTGCCGGAGAAGGGGTTGGGGAGGTGGGCAGGGGCCAGTGCATGCAGAGAGTGGAAAATGGCTGGTGGGTGTAGAACAGGGCACACAGGATTGGACTCCCTTTCCTTTCTTTTTGTTTTTTTTTTTGAGATGGAGTCTCACTCTGTCGCTCAGACTGGAGTGCAGTGATGTGATCTTGGCTAACCGCAACATCTGCCTCCTGGGTTCAAGCAATTCTCCTTCCTGAGCCTCCTGAGTAGCTGGGATTACAGGCGCACGCCACCACGCCCAGCTAATTTTTGTATTTTTAGTAGGGACGGGATTTCACCACGTTGGTCAGGCTGGTCTCCAACTCCTGATGTTGTGATCTGCCTGCCTCGGCCTCCCAAAGTGCTGGGATTACAGGTGTGAACCACTGCGCCTGGCCTGGACTCCCTTTCTGAGAGCTCGCTGGGCTGTTAGGTGGAGGAAAGGGGCCGGCGGTAGGGAGTCATCCAGGTGGGAGAGAGACAGGGGCCTGGACTAGAGGTGCCGGAGGTGGAGAGGGTGGGGTGGCAGAGGGACGGGAGATCTGTGCCTGCCTTGGATATGGGCTAGGGACAGGTTGCAGTCCTTGCTAGCCTGAGGTCTTGATCTTTGGGCAAAGCAGGAGAAGGCAGGGCTGAGGCGGGGAAGGAAGAAAGGAAGGGGAGAGCAGCCTGAGGACCCAGTGGCTCTCCCCAGCCCTGTGCCCTGCCCCCCAAGGGCTCCCACAGGACTTTTTTTTTTTTTTTTTTTTTTTCATTTTAGAAAATATTTTTTTATTTTTTTTAATAGAGATGGGGTTTCACCATGTTGGTCAGGCTGGACTTGAACTCCTGACCTCGTGATCCACCCACCTTGGCCTCCCAAAGTATTGGAATTACAGGTGTGAGCCACTGCGCCCAGCCCCAAAGGACTCCCCCAGGCCCCTCCTCCATCTGCCTGCAGAGCTTGCGAGTCACAATCCCCACAGTCAGTTCCCCATCCTGTTCCTTCTCTTTCTGGGAAAGGCCCCTGTCCTCGAAGTTGCATTTAGCCCTCTCCCTGGCACATGCACCAAAACAGAATCCTTCTCAATTTTAGCTTCTACCGCTCACAACGCAGCCTCACCTGTGGGAACAGGCCCTGGAAACTCACCCAGAGCCTCACAAGAGCCTCCATCCCCAGCTCTCTACCTCCAACCCAAACCGCAGACCTCTGGCAAAAATCAGTTCCTAAAGCACCACGTTTGGCTGAGGCTTGCTCCTGCTCAAAAGTCTTCGGAGGCTCCTCACTGCTTATGAGCGAGTGTCCAACTCCCAGACAGGCCTTCTGGAAACTGAGATCACAGGAGTCTCTGCCTCCTCCCCTACTCTACCGCCCAGTGATAATCCCGTGCTCCCAAGAGTGAAAGGGCAGAAACCCCCTACATGACTCCCACCAGCAAAATGGACAAATAAATCCTAACATACTTAGCCCTTGGAAAACTACAGAGTAAGGAAAACACATGTTCTAGAGCAACAGGCTTCAACATTCACAAAGCTCAAGCACTTATCGTTAGGCCGAGACACACGGCAGAGAACACAAAATGATTATATTACAAACCCAAAATACAAAATTACAATTACAAGTTACAAATACGAAAGTATGGCGGGGTGCAGGGGCTCAGGCCTGTAATCCCAGCACTTTTGGAGGCTAAGGCAGGTGGATCACCTGAGGTCAGGAGTTCGAGACCAGCCTGACCAATACAGTGAAACCCCCTCTCTACTAAAAATACAAAAATTAGCCGGGCATGGTGTCGGTGCCTGTAGTCCCAGCTACTCAGGAGGCTGAGGCAGGAGAATCCCTTGAACCCAGGAGACAGAGGTTGCAGTGAACCAAGATCACACCAGTGCACTCCAGCCTGGGTGACAGAGCGAGACTCCCTCAAAAACAAACAAACAAAAAAGCATGCAAAACCATCATGTATATTGCTTTTTTTTGAGACAGAGTTTCGCTCTTGTTGCCCAGGCTGGAGTGCAATGGCGCGGCCTCAGCTCACTGCAACCTCCACCTCCAAGGTTCAAGTGATTCTCCTGCCTCAGCGTCCCAAAGTAGCTGAGATTACAGGGACCTGCCACCATGCCCAGCTAATTTTTTTGTATTTTTAGCTGAGACAGGGGTTTCACCATGTTGGCCAGGCTGGTCTTGATCTCCTGACCTCAGGTGATCTACCTGCCTTGGCCTCCCAAATTACTGCGATTACAGGCATGAGCCACCGTGCCTTCTTCTCTCCCTCCTTCTTCCTAAATTTTGATTCGGCAGTTTTGGGGCCAGGAACTACCCATCATCACCTCACCATAAAGAACATAAAGTTTCCTAATTGGTCCTCTGGGACCCAGATGGGAAACAGAACAATCATTCTGCAAGGTAGGGAGCAGCCAGCCTGGGCAAGTGGCAGCTGCCCTGAGGGGCCCTCCCTGTGAGGTTACAGCTGCAGACAGGGCAGCATCCCATTGGAGGGTCAAAGTGTACCTTCCACTCCTGGCCTCAGCCAGCAGGTGACCTCTCTGGTATCTGAATGTGAGCCTCTAGCCCCAGGGGAGGCCATGTGGGACAGCTGGGGACAGTGAGCCACCAGCCCCCAGACACCCCTCCCTCTAGCACACAGTGGAAAACACACAATGAAGCTCTTCTTTTCTCCTCCATGGGGCCATTTCGCCATCCTGGGCAGCCCTGAGAAGCCTGAAGGCTTTTAAACCTCTGTCCTAACTGGGTCCAGGGCCGGCCTCAGGCCAGGGAGAGTAGGAGGGAGGGTGGAGAGCAAGGAGCAACATAAAGGGGGCTCTGCCTCCAAAAGAATGACCTGGAGGCCAGGCGGGGTGGCTCATGCCTATAATCCCAGCACTTTGGGAGGCCCAGGTGGGCGGATCACTTGAGGTCAGGAGATCGAGACCATCTATCTGGCTAACATAGTGAAACCGCGTTTCTACTAAAAATACAAAAAATTAGCCAGGCATGGTGGCATGTGCCTGTAGTCCCAGCTACTCAGGAGGCTGAGGCAGGAGAATCACTTGAACCTAGGAGGCGGAGGTTGCAGTGAGCTGAGATCATGCCACTGCACTCCAGCCTGGGTGACAGAGCGAGACTCTGTCTGAAGAAAAAAAAAAATGACCTGGAAAGTCCCTATCACCAGGGTCACCTGCCTTGACTCCTCCCTTCCTACTGTGCCCCCTAAATGGCCCCTGGATCCCACAGGGCCCCAGACTCCCCTGGGACCCAGCAGGCAAGCCGTGTGCCCAGGCTCTGCATCTCACCAGAGACAGGGCATTCTTAATGAAATGGAACTGGAAATACCTGTCTGAGAGCTGGGGGACCTGGAAGGCCACCAGGACACAGGGTTCTACGGGACCCGGTGTGTGCTCAGAGGCCTCTCAGGAACACAGAGAGCAGCTCCATGTCTTGTGTGTTCTCAAAACTGAGGAAACTGAAGAAGATGAGACAGCTAAAACGACCTTGAGGGTGAGGGTTTCCCGAAGCTGCCAGCATGCCTGGGGGCGGGGGAGACTTCCTCACACCCAGGAGAGGGACAGGGCTGCCTGCAGTCAAAACAGGAGATCATGGGGTCAGGGTCGGCCATCGCCCAGCTCATCCCTGGATGGGTTCTTCCCCAGACTTCTCAGCCCTCTCCATGGGGGAGGGGCTACTGGGGGCTCTGGTTAGAGCCAGAAGCACAGTAGGAGTGTCTCCGCCCCGGCTGGGAGGCCTTGGCTAGTTCTGTCTCTATGAGTGTAATCCCACCACTGGCTGCCAAGGGCTCTGGGCTTTGTTTGGTTTTAGTTTGTTTCCTGTGGCTTTCCTCTTCTCTCCTCGCTCATCCCAATCCCAGGCCTTCCTGATTCAATCCTGCTCCCTGAGCTGGGCTTGAGGGTCCCGAGGGCCACCAAGGACACAGGGTTCTACTGGAGCCAGGGTGTGCTCCGAGGCCCCTTAGTTTTTGCTTGTTTGTTTGTTTTGAGACAGAGTCTTGCTCTGTCGCCCAGGCTGGAGTGCAGTGGTGCAATTTTGGCTCACTGCAACCTCTGCTTCCCAGGTTAAAGTCTCAGCCTCCCGAATAGCTGGGATTACAGGGGTGCGTGACCATGCCCAGCTAATTTTTGTGTCTTTTAGTAGACATGGGGTTTCACTATGTTGGCCAGGCTGGTCTCAAACTCTTGGCCTCAAAAGATCTGCCCACCTTTGCCTCCCAAAGTGCTAGGATTACAGGTGTGAGCCACTGCGCCCAGCCCTGAGGCCCCTTAGGAACACAGACAGGAAGTCTGACCTGTGAACACCTAACTCCAGAACAAGCGAGAACGTGCCCGGGAAACTTGAAGTGGGAAGACAGTGCCCAGGGGCAGTCTGGAGACAGGTTCATTTTAACTGAGGAGGTTGGGCCAGCCTTCATGGAGAAAAGGGCACCTGAGCCAAGCTTTCATTCATTCATTTATGCATGCATGCATGCATGCATTCAGAAACTTTTTCTTTCACATCAGACGGAGACTGTGCTGACATCATCACGAGGTCTGAGGGAGGCGCATCTTACCTATGCATGTGAAAACCCGATCACACTTAGAAGCTACAAAAAGATCAGTCAGAGGCATTTCCTAAGGTCCACTGAGGTGCCAGGCACTGTTCTGGAATCCGGGATACAGTCCTGAACAGTTTCTCCCCTTGTGTAGCCATATTTTGATTAGGGGAAAAAAAACAATCAACATGCAGTATGTCCCGTGGTGATGTGAACTAGAGGGGACATAAAGCCATCGAGGGGACAGGGTGCAGAGGGTGGTGCTATTTTTATGTGGGGTGGTCAGGGCAGGCTCTCAAGGCAAAATTTGAGCAGAGACCTGAAAGAAGTGAGGCTGCAAGCCACGCGAGAACCACAGAAGGCACTGTGGAGAGGCCACCACCTGTAGCTGAGGCAGAGGAGCAGGCTGAGGGGTGCTAAAAGATGTGGTGGGGAGGCCGGGTGTGGTAGTGTGCGCCTGTAGTCCCAGATATCTGGGAGGCTGAGGCAGAAGAATTGCTTGAATCCGGGAGGCGGAGGTTGCATTGAGCTGCGATCACACCACTGTACTGCAGCCTGGCGACACAGTGAGACTCTTGTCTCGAAAAAAAAAAAAAAAAAGATGCAATGGGGATGTCCAGGTCACAGAGGGCCTGGAAGCCATTCTTCAAACAGACTTGGACTTCATGAGAGGTGGGAAGTCGCTGGAGGAGTTTGAGCAGAGAAGCGGTCCGTTCCTGACTTAAATAACAGGTTTTTTTGGTTTTGTTTTTTTGCTACGGAGTATCACTCTTATCACCCAGGCTGGAATAAATGGCACAATCTCGGCTCACTGCAACTCTGCCTCCTGGGTTCCAGCAATTCTCCTGCCTCAGCTTCTCAAGTAGCTGAGATTACAGGCACTCCACCGCCATGCCTGGCTAATTTTTGTATTTTTTGTAGAAATGGGGTTTCAGCATGTTGGTTAGGCTGGTCTCGAACTCCTGACCTCAGGTGATCCACCCGCCTCGGCCTCCCAAAGTGCTGGGATTACAGCCATGCACCACAGTGCCCAGCCTAAATAACAATTTCATTTGGGTTGCAGTGTGGAGAATGCACTGGGGTACAAAGACAGAAGTCAGCAGTGCATCTAGGAGGCTGGGTGAGAGCTGACCTGGCTGGCTCAGGTGGTGGCAGTGGAGGCGGGGAGAAGTGTTCAGATTCTGGGTATGTTTGAAGGTGAGCTTTGAGGATGCAACAGAATTTGACAATAGAGATACAGGGAGGAAGGAAGGCTAGACAGGTGAGACAGAAGTGCAGGAAGAGCTCAGGCCTGGGGGAGATGAAACTGGGCAGGTCTGGAGTAGGTGTGGGAGGGTGCAAAGGCCTGGTGAGGATTGGGGGCTCCATTCTTCTGCAATGTGGCTTGCAGAAGGGAACACTTGGTCAAAGGCATGCTTTGAAGACCAGCCAGGCAGCAGGGGGAAGCTGTGTGGGTGGGGAGAGCAGAGAGCGGCAGGGGAGCACGAGGCTGCGGTGGGTGCTCCAGCCACAGCTCTCCAAGGTCCCATAGGCCCCAGAAAAGAAAAGGACCCTGCGCCCCTCCTGCCAGGCTGTGACGTGGATAGCCCAGCTCACTGCATCTACCTGACATTCTGGCCACTAGCAGGGTCTGGGAGGATTCACTCAAGGACCCTCCCATCAGGTTCCTGCCACTCTTGAAATCAAGCTAGTGGGACTCACTGGCCCCAGATAAGGGGTTTCCTCTTGCAGAAGAAGAGCAAGCTAGGTCTGTCCCAAGGACGGTTTCGAGGGTCAAGAAAGGTCTCCTATGCCTAGGAATGAAGAGGGGGCTTGGTCAGGGAGGGAAGGCTGTCACTAGGGCTGCCTTTCCCCACACGCCAGCTGCTACCCACCTCCTTGGCTCTGCAAGACACTTCCAGATGTGCTTGTGTCCCCTCTGCAGACAGAGGCTCTCCTCAACACTCTGTTCTGCAAAACCCCCACAACTACCCCTAAGAAGGCAAAAGGGCAACTGAGGCAGGAAGCAGAGGGCATGCACCAGTGAGTCCCACACTCCTGATCCGACTCCCCAGGTTTATCCTACTGCTCCTGGGGAGCTTGCCACCCCCTGCCACCTCCTGGGTTTGGGCCCTTGCTTATATCTGTTTGCATGTGCTTTCCCCTTCCCTGGAGAACAATGATCAGAACCTGTTCATATCTGGGACCCCACAGTCCCTACCCAGGGCAGCTACGTGTTCCCTGGCTGAATGAAGGGATGTGGAGTTTCCTGCTGGGTGGTGGACAGGACAGGCTTGGAAGACAGGAGTGGAATTATGTAAGGAAGCTCCAGAAGGACACGGGGCTGTGGATCCTCTCCCAACTCCAGGCCACAGCAGGAACACCTGCTAACATTTCTGGACCATTCCCTTTGAGCCAGGCCCAGGTGCGGTTCATTTGATCTTCACAGGAGCCCTATGAGATAGGCATCCGCAACCCCATTTTACAGATGCAAACAACCAAGGTACAGAGCAGTTATTTGTCCAAGGTCACAGGGCTACTAAGCAACAAAGCTAGGACTCAAAAGCAGACTTGTTTGACCCCACATGCTATGTGCTTAGCTACTACCCACACTGTCTCCCAGGCCCTACATGTGTCTCATACCAGGTTCACCTGGGGCCCCTCCCCATTGTGCTCAGTTATCCTCATCCTAAGACGACTGTAGTTATGGTTGAGGAAAGCCTTTTATAAAATTGCCAAATTGCCAAACACCAGGGATGTTGATTCTTAATGATAACATGCTAACAGCTCTCCTCCCTGTGAGGCTGGTGTTTCCATCATTTCCTTTCCACCCCCAACAGAATCCTCCATTTGCGATCCTCCCAGCCACACCTTCAGGTTGGTAGTGCATTCGCTTTCCCCCTCCGCATCATGTCCTGTTCCATCCCGTTCCCCCTCCCTCCCCATCCTTCCTGGAGGCACCTCTAGCACCAATACCTGCCCATTTCCAGACTACGGTTTCCTGTAAATATCCCCTCTCCCTCCCAGCAGCCAGCAGCATCTCCCCCTGGGGACTGGACTGATTGTTTTGCAGACCATGAGGGGCAGGGTCTGGAATTCTGATTCCAGGCACACCCTTCTGCTCTGCAAATTTGGGGAGTGGATTCCAAGGCAACCTTGACATCCAGACACAGGAAAGCCTGTAGAAATACTGCATTTCGAAGTAACTCTCTGATGATTCCAGTTTTGGGGATTTGGAAAATCCCAATTCCCAAGTTCCAGGCAGACTCACACTCTCAAGATTCTGAGTTAGTGATCCTGGCATTCTGATCTCGGATTCTAGTTCCTTATGGAAACTTCTATTTCCCCTTCCTCAGGCCATTCATATGACCTCAAACTTACTAATTCTGAAAGCTAGAAGTAGATTTAAAAATCTTTCCCCAGATAGGGCTGTAAAATTCCCAGAAATTTTGTGGGGAGAAAATGTTTTTATTAAAAATCCCGAATATGGGACAGGCGAGGTGGCTTACACCTATAATCCCAGCACTTTGGTAGTCCCGGGCGGGAGGATCACGAGGTCAGGAGTTCAAAACCAGCCTGGCCAACATAGTGAAACCCTGTCTCTACTAAAAATACAAAAATTAGCCGGGCTGATGGAGGACGCCTGTGTTCCAAGCTACTCGGGAGGCTGAGGCAAGACAATCGCTTGAAGCTGGGAGGCGGAGGTTGCAGTGAGCCAAGATCACTCTACTGCACTCCAGCGTAGGAGACAGAGCAAGACTTCCTCTCAAAAAACAAAAATCCTAAATATGAAGATATCTAAATATTTTTCTTTCTCTCTCTCTCTCTTTTTCTTTCTTTCTTTCTTGAGACGGAGTCTAGCTCGTCTAGCTCTGTAACCCAGGATGGAGTACAGTGGTGTAATCTCTCCTCACCGTAACCTCTGCCTACCGGGTTCAAGAGATTCTCCTGCTCAGCCCCCCCCCTCCCCGATTACAGGTATCCTCCACCACACCCAGCTAATTTTTGTATTTTTGGTAGAGATGGGGTTTCATCATGTTGGCTAGCCTGGTCTTGAACTCCTGACCTCAGGTGATCTACCCACTTCAGCCTCCCAAAGTGCTGGCATTACAGGCGTGAGCCACCATGCCCAGCCTAAATATTTTATTTATTTATTTATTTATTTTTGAAGAGGAGGACTGATGTAGCCAGCCTAAATATTTTTCAGTCTCGTTATTTTAATGTAACGTGCAGAGCAATGGTAACTTACTTAACGCATTATCTAAACTGACCAAGGTTTAGGATATTAGAGACGTGAATGCCCCAAAAGGCACAAATACAAGGTCTCCACCCCACCCTCCAGCACCATGTTTTCTAGTTTTCCAGCTCCCGGAAGCCTTTATATCTCCATTTCTTAGGCTGAGAGTGAGTGGATTCCTGGGCCTGAAGCTTCTGGGCGCGTGGGGTGGTCTGGAGAGGAGATGGTGAATTGCACAATGTTTGCTCGGAAGCTTGGGAAATTCCCAGGCTTAGGCTCTCCCCACAACCTGGCCTGTTGCCAGGGCTCTCAAAATTCCCATCCCCAACATCACTATCCCTAAACTGGGGCTTGAGGTCCTGACCCATGGCCCGCCTGGTAGTAGGAAGCGGACAGGGGCCCTCGGAGGCTTGTCTTCTTCCCTGCCTGTCAGCATCTCTGGGGCTGAACAGTGCTTGCTAGTTACCACCTTCCCCTGGGGCCAGGAAGGAAGGGGTAGAGGGAGGCAGGAGAGCAGAGTGAGCTGGGGAGGGTCGATGCACACAAATGACTGGAAAACCAGGCAGAGTCAGTTGCGTCAGATTTCACAGCGTGTTCCACATGGGCCAGGCTGGGGTTAGAAGGAAAGGGGCAGGCTGGAATCCAACAGGCTTGGGACTCTTGCTTGGGACAGAAGAACCTAACTTGACTGGTAAGGAGTTGGGTGCTGGGGAGTGGGACAGGGACGTACGGAAGGAGTTGGCGGTTTCAAACGTCAGACTGCAGAAGGTGGGAGGCAGTCCTTCTCTCCGGCATTTGCCATTGCCATCGGAGCCTGAGCACCTGCTGACCTCATCTCCGGACAGAG